ACATTTATAATATCATAAATTGCACAAAGCTACTTTATTTCTTAGAGAAAAATAAAAATATTATTGGCATAACTTTCAAACGTATTATAAATAATTTTCGTAATTGGTTACACAATATTCTTATGGCATTGGAAATGATTGCTGAAATATTAAATTAAAACGTTTTAACGATTATTAAAATACAAGACGATATAAAAGTTTAGAACTCAAAATGTCTGGTTTATTTAATAAATAAAAACAAGAAAGGTAACTAGCTTCGGTAAGCCACAATTAGTTTTTCCCCTTGCAGTTTCCATAGGCTCATATCATTGAATCAAAATTCGATCATAACTAAGCCAAAAATGCGTTAATTTCAGTTCTGAGTACTTTACTGTGTTTGTTTTTATTAGGTTAACAAATCAGCATATTAAAATAAAAAATTTAAAAAATCAAAAATTTTAGCATTTTTTGACAATTTTAATGATGTAACCCCTTATCAAATTTTGAAAAATTGAGTACAAAATTTTTTTTCTGCCCGACATAGCTAGAAAAACTCGCCTGTTGATGCTGATCAAGAATATATATGATTTATAGGGCCGGAAATGGCTAACTCACTAAATAAAATCATAAAACTCTTCAAGAGGACCGAAAATATTTGAATTCCTTACATCTATATTTATCCATATTATTAAATGATAATATTTTTTTGGACAAATTATAACTAAACCAAAATAGCTTCAAATTTAGAGCTTTTCTAAGCTAGTTTGCTGCACATTAAATTACAAATTTAAAGAAATCAAAATGTTTGATAAATTTCGAAAAAATAGCAGCAATTTTGTTTATTTCCAGCAATCTTTACCCTATTATATGATATAATAAAAATAACTCTAAAGCAAATCCCATTTGTACTTGAATGTCTTAGAAAAAGGATATTTCTGTCAGGGCAAAAGGACTTTTAATTGGCAATACTGCGGTGGCAAAGCGCCAATAAATTTCAATAAACACATTACGCTGTGGACTTGAACTTGAAGCGGCCTAAGTGGATTTGCTGTGGCACACCGACAGACAGATAGATGGATCTTGGCCAGGTCGCCAGTGCCGCGGAGAAGCGAAGCAACAGATGCAGGTTGCAGGTTGCAGGCTGCGACGACAAACCTTTGAAATCCACTTATTGGCAGGAAGAGCGCAATTTGCGCCAGGAAGGAGCGCGGCCTGCGACAATGCAATTTGCCCAGTGCCGTGCCACTTAATTTTCTACCTTTAATGGGGCAGCGGGCAGGTGGGAAGGCGGAACAGGACGGAGATGCGGAAAAGCGGAAAAACTGGAGGCGCCACGGCTAATGCAAACAAATCGCAGGATGTTCGGTGGGCCCAGAGGCGTTCGGGGGTGGGCAGGCGACTCAGGTGATTCAATTGCGTGTGTCCATTGGCAAGGCCGCATAATAACGGTTATGTGGCATGGCTGCCAAGTGCTGCTGGCCAAGGTTGCCAGACGTTGCCAAAGCAAAATGCATATGCACCTCGCATGCGAAATATCACGGGAATTTTCACATTTTATTGGCAACACTATATGGGCCGAAGTTCAATAATTTAATATGCCACTTGCGTTACGACGACTGTCAGCGAAATTTTCAACTCGCTGGCTGACCTCAAATATAAAATAATCAATAACAAACATGAAGTACATTTATGGCATTTAATTAAAACAAAAATAAATACCAGAAGACAAAGCGCCTTTAATTGGATTATTTACCTGGAGAAGTCGCGGCTTTATTATCATATCGCTTATGGCACGTTTCCAGGTTCCATTAACCCCCCAAAGCCCACAAACAATTACCCGCACAATTTCCCCAAGAATTGGAAATACTTATGAGTCCCGAAGTTGCGACCATCAATCATCGCTGTGACAAAGTCTCAAATTATTTGAATTTTATGATGTGCCAAATGAGTAATAAAGCGCTTGCAACAATCACAGCCAGAAGAATGAGAACGGGAAAGGGAAGAAGGCCCATTACGTGAGCTACACGCTCCAAAATCTTGCAAAATCGCAAAGAATTCTACCCTGAATTAAGGCAGTTGTTGGCCTGGTTTCCAACGACTCACGTGCGCTTCATAAGGAAGCCAGGAGAATTACTCCGGTGACAGGTCCCACCTAAGCGATGAGTTGCTGATCTTGTTGTCCAATTGCTGTGGTGATGAGTCAAGAGCTTGGGCTGCGGAAGGCCATTTATCCTGATAAATTGATGCCCAAAACGTGTTGGCTGTAAGCCTTTTCCTGTTTACGTCTCCGTAATACTGGGATATTATTTTCCAGATAAAAGGCAACACGAAGGACAAATAAAAGATGAAGACATTATGACCAAAAGTAAGTTCTACCTTAAAAAAATAAGAATCTTCATGGGATCTTGAAGATTTTTCTCTTAATCAATATTTTTTAATGGAGAATACTTCAGAAACAAACTGGTAGAAAGTAAGGTAACAACTGGTCCCTCCTTTCAGGCGACTTGTTTCTAAAATACACCAAATAAGATTGTGTTTAAAATGTCTACACGTATCTTCTTAAACATATTTCTAAGACTTGCCCTGAGCATAAACACATTCATATACAACACCAAGAAATAAGCTTGCCACTCCAGAGATAAACCCTCTGAAATTAGAATAAACCTGTGAGATCGTTTCAGCTTTCTCCAAGAGATTCGGGCGGCGAATCGAAAATCAAGTCACAGAGAAAGTGGCCATCAGTCGTGATTAGAATTCCCTCGAATCGCATGAAACCCAAGACGTTGACGATCTTGTTTCAAGAAATATACAGTTTGCTGATAAGCTCTTAGCTTGATTGTTTGCGTAACCAACGATTTTCTAGGCAAGAAAAAAGACGGGGGAAAGGTCAGTTAAATGCCCCAGGGGGTGGGTGTATCTCCGAACCGCAGAAGTAGTTACCTTCAGCGGTGCATGGAAAAAAGAAAACGCCAACGAAAACGAAAAGTCAAGAAAACGCAGCCGCATGGCCAAGAAAAACTGTGCTGACCATAATTGGAGTTGCACTAAGGTCTGCGTGCATTTAATTATGCAATTTGAGCAAATAGCTGCCCAGCAAAAAGCCACAAAAGAATCAACTGGTCATACTCCGAAGGCACTTTGTTCTTGGCTGATTTCTCAGCTCAGCTCACAGCTTTGCTCGTACCTGCCCCAAATACCACAAAAATAACAAAAATAAGAAACAAAAAAAAAACGTTTCCAAAATAAAGGCATTCTGTATTAGGCAAATAGTAAAACCGGTAAGGCAGTTCCATCAAAGGTGCGACTTTGCGTTTCTGTCATTTTCGGGGGTCCACAGTAAGATATATTGTGGCTTTGCACCGAAATCGAGGCCTGATGCCTGAGTCTCCAAAGCGTCGTATAGCGTCGTTTTTTTTGATGGCCAGACCCGCTGCCTCTTTAACTTACGTAAGGCTGACCTAGAAAAATTGGCATAAACAAAATTTACGAATATTTGCCGACACCTAAAACCCAATAAAAGTAATAAAAGAGAAAGATGCACAAAATACAGCGCTTTGTTTACACTCAAAATATAAGTGGAAAACGTGATCGACGGAATATGTTTCCAGCTGATACATTGAATTGGCTTTCGATTACCCCGAACGGCTTGGCTGAGAGCAAAAAAATTTTAATTAATTTGTAAACAATGCCGGACGGACGGGGTTGAGTAAATCTGAAGATTTGTCGGAATTTCTTATCTTTGGCAAATGCTTTTCTGTTTGCTTCTTAAACATGCCCATTGAACAAGCCCCGCTGCCATTAGCAAGACAATAGTTAGACTGTTTGGGGGGGGAGTGACTCATAACGAGTGGTTACAGCACTTTCAGAGTTTCCTACTCCCAAGAACAATGAGTGGCGGACACCGGACAGGCACTGGGAACTGTGTGTTGTTATATATGTTCCGGACACGCGTCCCGGCGCAAACAAAGAGCTAATGACTGGCTACGCCACCGCGATAATAAAATAGGAAGAATGTAGATAGTTTCCTCTAAATTGCACTGGCCATGCAATTACGATTTCATTTTGTTGCAGTTCGGAATTGTATTCACACGCACAAATCGATCATTCGAATGAATGGATCAAAAACCATTGAGCTTGGATAATGTTAATTAAAGCTCGCTCGCCACCAATTCATCTCGGAGGCTCTCGGCTGCAAAGCCACCGACTTAGTTGACTGAACTCGATTAACACCGATCCCACTCCCAAATGAACCCCAGCCAACTGGAAACCCGTTTTCGAATTTCCATCGGAGCACCAAGAGATGTCAGGCATCCGAAGTTTTTGCCGGTTTTAGTTATGGTTTTATTTTTGTCTGTCATTGGCAGTGCACGGAGAAAAATAGGATTAATCGGAAAAGCTCACTCATATGTGGAGTAATTTCAAATGAATTAATATATCTTATGGATTAATTATCCATGTATCTATGAAATTCGGTTAAAACCCCAATTTGCTGGGATAAAACCCTAAGTTAAAATAAGTTTGGATATTATAAAATGGTTATTTGAATTTCTAAGAGTAAAGCCCTTAGATCCTGAATCCTAACTCAAAAGATCTCTACTGACTTTCAGTCCTTTCTTTATAATTTTGAGCAATGTGTATAGAAGTTAAACTCCTTTACTTTATTTGTTTGTATATGTTAACATAGATTTTGGAAAAAGTTAATTTCCATATCCATCCGATTCAGATAAATCTCAAGATTTCTTACTGTGTGCCGGAATCGGTGGGCCCAGCTCGGGTGATAAGCCAGGGTCCCAGCTTAAGGCCCCTCGAAACGTGTTTTCAATAATCATGCGCAACTTTCTTTTCCCAGTGCGTCCCCCATAAGCATCGCAGATATCTGGCCGAATGCCACCGAATGGATAGGCTAGAGAAACTGTCCAAGCAAGACCACTTGGGTATTCGGGGACTACGGATTGGGGATGGGATGGGTGCTCAGGAATCGAAGCCCGAATCGAAGCATTCGGAGGAGGTGAAATACTTACTTAATGACTGTCTGCATGTTGGCCGTTTCTGGTCGGTTTTTGTGATGGGCCAACAATATTTATTTAACTGCGCGACAAGTTTGCTTAATTTCGTTATCGTGAATTTAACGAGAGGCTGCTAAGCTGTTGAAGAGAAGTAATTGCATTCAGTAAACACTCGGCTCAAACTCAAACTAAACTTTAACGTCTTCTTCGAACGGTTACAGGCGTCACAACGGCGAAGGAGGAGCGGAGCCCGCGCTTCTGTATATTATTTATTGACTTTGGTTTGTTCAACTATTTAGCAAGCAATTAATTTACACAGCGCTCCAACTCCCGCTGATGGGTATTATTTGAAACAAACTGCCACCAACCGTCGGCTAATCCGCAACCCGGACTTGGAAACTCGCGGTGGAACTTGACTAGGCAACGAACGACAACCGACTGAGCTCCATCGCTCCACGGGCGCTTCTATATAAAAAAAGATGTGTGGAAAGAGCGCTGCCACATCGCTGAAATTCGGATACTCTACGGATGTGTAGGTGCTTCCGGATTACGGACGACGCTTGCAACGAAGGAATTTAACTGACAATGTGTTCTAACAATTATGTCATATGTATTTTCCTTTTTTTTAAAGCATTAAATAGGTGAATAAAAGTTTTTAAAAATAAAATATATATATTGGTCTATTATTTCATATAAACTTTACGCTTATAAAGAAATTGTAAATTCATTTCAACATTAAAATAAAATTATATGCTTCCCAGAAATCCAGGCCTTCGTCTTATCTTTTTTTTTTTTTTAACTAAGTAAAAGCTGAGTATTAACTTCGACGAATCTACATTCTAGAAACCAAGACAGCATTTTTAAGAAAATCAGCTTTATACATAGAATATTAATTATCACAATCAAACTATGTATTTTTGTATGTAACGAGCTGTAAGGATAGCCACAAATCAGAGACAAATAAGCTTTGATGAATAACACTTATCACGATTTTCGGTTAAATTAAAAAAATTGTTAAAACCGAAGTTCTTGTCTAGCTGCTAAACATTTATTCTCTGGAAACACAAACAAATCAATAAAATATACCTTAAAGTATGCCACAATACCTTTTCTTAAAATCACAGAAACAAAAGCACTTACAGTATGTAGAGGGACAAATAACTTGCTAAATAATTATAAAAATATATCGAAATCAGACAACTTTATCTTACTGCTTTAACAGGAATGATCGGGTAAAAATGAAGATAACTGCATTTATTCTGAGAACATAAATTCTCAACAAAATTTCGTAAAAAACTAGTATACGGGTAAACCAAATTGAAAAATGTAGAAATTGTTGGAAATAAAAAACATAACCAAATTTAAATATTACCATTAACACAAGATAGAAGGGAAGATTTTCAAGGGATATGTGTGCTTTAAAATGAAGCCTAATGTAATTTAATATAGTGCCCTTGCTATATTATTATAACTTTAAAGTTACACAAAATTAAATTTTAAGAATTACGGATAAAAGAGTTTCCCTTCGAGACTTTTCAATCCCGATTTGAAAATTTGATTTACTCGAATCACCCGATTAAAGAAAACCGCCCAAATGCATGCTACACCATTATTGCAAGTACTAAGACTCAGTAACTTTAAAAAATTCAAACTATTTTTGGGTTTTCTTGCATTACATACTTTATTTATTGAATTATGCAACTCGTTCGATCACCTTTACGTACACCACATGCTCAGCACATCGTTTCTGCATATGTGCTGACATGTTTTAATACTATTTATGTGTTTCTTTTTTACAGCGCATTGATATATATTATCCTTCTCTTTGTTCTCAAATCCCAAACAACAAATTCTACTTTGCGTTCTTCCGTTGAAAACTTGACTTAAAAGCGCATGTGTGTCTACTTTAGAAAAATATATATGTATGCCGTTATATATATTATGAAGTAGCATTTTTCAGATTACATGGACCGGGTACAAACTTGTATGTATATAATTTCTGTTTTTTTTAATGTTTCATCTCCTGCCTGGTGTGGTGTTCCTTACATAGTATAGTAAATGTCAATTATGGAAGTAAAATTCATTAAGAGTTCTCCAAAGATTGTGGGGAGCGGGGTTGTAGTATTTTGCTATACCAAAACTTTCTAAAAATAGCGGTTGTAAAACTTTTTAAACAAAAACTAAAAAAAATATAAATTTTTAGCAGGATTGCAATTTTTACGATTAACAAATTCCGTGTGGCGCCTAAATAATATCGAAAAAATATATTCAAGTATTTGTTCTGCTGAGCAAACCATCATTAAAGCGTCGATCGAAGCAAACAAAAACTTATACATTTGTATGGCTTTTATCCATTAATAATTTGTTGCGTGTATTTAAAGAATTTTTCGTTCTGTTTTTCACGCTTCCTTGTTTTAGTACTAGTATGTAATACAGATTTTAATGCTTAGTACGACTATTACAATTTTTCAATTATTAAATTAAACTAATTTTAAACTTAAACATTTAGCAAAGGCGCGCCTCAAGCGAACGCTGTTCTTTTTTAGCTAGCATTTTCTTGCTGGTTTCGCTGCCGTTGGACATTATCGATTTGCTTCGCTGGCTGCAAAGGGCCCGAGTTCACCGCCAGATAATATCATGGAACATAAATCAGTAGGCCGATTCGATATACGATAGAGAATTAGTAACATGTGCCGGGCCACCTGAGCAGACCTGTAAGGCTTGTGGAACTCAAACGGAACTCAAAAGGGTCTGCCCGCTGCCTGTGACTTGTGTGAGTGAGTGAGTGATTTTCGGGAGAACTAAAAGTCTAGAAATAGTATAATATATGCATGTTGTGTTATTACACCTTGAATTTCATCTCGAGCGCAGTTTGAAGTTGGCGAAATGATAAAATATATGCTTATGCACTTTCACATTTAGTTCCGAGCACACGACAGAGCCTAATGCGGATGGAGGTGACGATGAGAAGTTACAGACCTAAGGACATGCAGAGAGATGTGTTTCCCATGCCGGATGAGAGAGTGTTTGCAATGGAGGGTGTGGTGTATGTGTGTGTGCGTTTACAGCAGCGTATAAAATACATTCCGGGCAGAGCTTAACTACTACCACCTTGTCCCTTGCCGTAGATAAGCTCCTCGCATATCTTAAGCAGGTCGGCGTTTTCACGAGTCTTCTGTTGCAGCTGCTCCGTCATTGAGACGCGCGAAATCTCCTCCTTTTTGAGTAAAGCTTTCAGTTTTTTCACCTCATCCGCATGCTCCCTCGTGATGTGATCCAGCTTTTTGTTGGCACTAAAGAAAAACGGAACAATTAGATTTTATAATGCGACTTCAACTTTTATACTAACATTTCCAGCTGCTGCATGGCATGGCTTTTCATCTTGTCGTAACGCTGTTCCTGCATCCGCAGATTGTCCATCATCTGCTTTCGTTCCGCCTGCAGCGACTCTTCGTTGAGCTTAAGCTGCGTTGTCATCTCTTTGCTCTTTTCGTATTTCCTGCAATGATGGTTAGTTAGTCGATTGATTTAAACAAGTCATTACGGACAGTCGTTGCTTACACATGCAGATCGGAGAATGTGGTTTCCAGCGATGTTAAGTGATGGTAATTGGTATCCCGGTCTGTCTGTACATCCTGCAACTGCCGCTCATAGCCGTGCGCTTGTTGCTCCTTCTCGCTGATCAACTCGGCAATGGCCTTCTCGTACGCCTCGATAACGCCACTATATAAGAAGACAAGTGGTATTTAGATGTGGTCCTTTGGCCCAAGATGTTATTAAATACTCACTTAAGCTTTGCAATTGCCTTATCCTTCTCTGTGATACGCTTTATGCTTGCCTCCTCGCGTTGCTCCGCCTCCTTAAGCTTCTTCTCAATGTCCTCTGATCGGGTTCTGAAATGTATATCCATTTGTTAGAAAGCATTTTTGACCACTCTTTGGATAAACTTACACTTCATTTTTGATTTTCTTCTCTAGGTCATCCATGTTGTAGTTGTGGGACTTGTCCTCCTTGTTAAGGCTACAAATATAAAAGCAAGATCGATATATTCAAAACCCATTTAACACAGGGACACCTGTTACTCACTTGGAATTATCGAAGGTTTTGTTGCAATCGTTATCAATGACGTCCACACTCATTTTAGCATGCTTCTGTGGAAAGGGAAAATATAATTAACTAGTAAATTAAAAATTAAACACCTGAAAAGTTGATACTCACTTTGGTCCTATCCACAGGCGGCTTAAAGTCCAGCTTCTTGGCGGTTTCTTTGGCACTCACTTCAACTGCAAACGACTGGCTGTTGCCTCCACTCGTCTCGAGCTCTTCCAACGTGGGACTGAGGACCCTGTTGTTCTGGTTCTGGTTCGAACCGCGGATATTCAGCAACGCCTGCTCCTGTTCCTGCTTCAAATTCACAGGAACGGGGGCACCTAGGAGCGGATCGAACTTTAGCAGCAGCGAACTGCGATCGATGGGCGCATTATTGCTGCCTTTCGTGTACAAATAGTCAAAATCTGATGAGTTCAGTATTACTGCATATGGAGATTGGTTGTGTTTTGTTTGTGTGTTTATGTATATATGTTTTAGATGAGGTGCATGCGCGTGCATTTTGTATTTGTGTTTGATGGGGTAAAAAGAGAAAAAGACAAAAACAATAGTTAGTCACTGGCTGTTGCAGCTCGTCTCCTTCTCCTTCAAAATCAGTTTATATCAATGTCAACGTCAAGGTAATTTCCTTCGACCTCCCTTCGGAAATGGACCATTAATAGTAGGTACCAACTATTCACATACAGATGGGAAATATATACGCGGACTGCGACTGGGTAAACGCCCCTTAAAAAAGCAATGCAAGTGGGCTTGACATGAAAACACAGGGAAATAAGTGGGATTAGCTAGAAAGGGAGACTAAGAGAACTAAAGAAAGGTATTTTCCGAGTCTGTAAAGGTCGATTTGTGGTTGTTCTTTCTTGGATTTGATAATATCAATACGTTAAAATAACTTTTAATAACTCAAACTACTTCAATATAGATATCCCTTATCTTCTTACGCTACCCTTAATTGAGGGTTTTAACTATAGTTGATTTCATTATAGTTTTAATGACTTTGTTTCTGCCATCATTAATACCACGCGTATCTTGCCTTATCTTTTCCACTAATTTCGTGTCACTTTATTTACAATCTGTACTATATATTTTTTATCAAAATAAGTACTACACACTTCCCTTTCCGATCAAGTGTTACTAAGTCAGTTTTGAAAGCTAAAAGATCTAGATAATTTGATTTATTATTGCAATGATTCGTTTTGTGGTCGAGCATTATTATAGCTTTGTATTATAATTATAATATATTATAAAACTAAGCGGGAACAGCTGCATACAAACAATTTCCAATCGCGTCTCTTTTTTAAGCTCTTCGCTTGTGTGACTCGTTGAAAAAACAAAAGACGGAAGGAAGAACAATGACAAAACCGAATATAAGATATAGCATGACTCAAAATGAGTGTCCCTCCCTACCATTCAACCCCCAGAACCCCAAACCAACAGATCCCAAGGGGCTGGAAATAGAGGTGTGCCGGTTTTGCAGAGAAGCCCGCATTATTATATTTTGCGTACACATGAAAGAATTTCAATATTCCTTTAATTGCTAATTTAAGCACTTTATTTTAAAAACAGAATGTAAAGGGGCAGGAAAACAGAAATGGATTTTAAAAAATTGTACATTATTTAGCATTATTAACTAAAAATTTTTCAGTGCTCAGCACATAAGGGAATGGAGAGAACGCATAAACAAATGGGCGGCTTTAAAAATAGTAAAAACAGTGAGAGAACCCGGGCAGGCCCAGATATTATATATTTGCTGCGATTAAGGCCGAAATGCAGGTCATATGTGGCCATTATTTACTTCATTTGTTTAAGTTTCGAAAACCGAGCAGGGAGCAAAACAAACCAAAACAAAAGGAAACGGTGACTTTGTGAGTCATTTTATGCAATCGACGAAAGGTTTCCAAAAGTGGGTTGCGACAGGGAGCAGAAAGTGAGAGAGAGAGAGAGAGAGAGAGCGCGGTGAAAGAAAGTGGGGAAATGGGAAGTGCGAGAGAGAACAGCTTTTCACACTGCGCTGCATTTTAATTGCGTGTCTTTGACAAGTTTTGCATTTTCAAGATTTTCTACAGTTATTCACACAATAATGTTAACCGTGACCACGCAGCGCCCACACTCATATACCCGCGACCGTACACACACACACACACACATAGATGGGGGCCAATCGCACAATGAAGTTTCACGCTCTCACTCTCGCGTATAATTTTTTCTTTGAGACGTTTCGGAGTCTTGTCTTGTGGCTTTATTTATGCTTATTTGTTGTTTTTTCTGCACAGCTGCTTGTTACATTTCCAATTTCTAGCGCTTTTAATGAGTAAACCGCAATGCAATGCTTGTCCGATTTTAGTAAACAAACAAAATATTCATTTTTGGTTGCCTTTTCAAATTTACATTTGCGGACTTAGCAGTTTGAAGAGCAACAACAATGCACGGGAGATGAGATACAGCGAACGACGTCAAATGTTGAAAACTAACTGAAATGGAATTTCTTATTGCTTACATTTCTCTCCGTTTCCAATAAGAAAACCAGCGCACGCACACGAGCCTGAATTCTGACTGGAGTGTGTGACAGTGACGCGTATGCACAAAAAGCAAGTGCGCAGAGAGAGCGCTCTCTGTACACGTTTTATGTTTGGAGTTGTATTTCCTTTTTTACCGCACAGCCCCCTCTATAAGACTCTCTCGCTCTTATGCAGCTGTTGTGGGGCTGTAAAAGTGCATGGCTGAGTTCTAACTTGAATTCCTATGCGCCTAGGTGCGCGTGTGTGGGTGAACTGGAGAGAGTATGCCAATAAGAGATGAGTGCTACAGTGGATCTTCGATATAAATATCATTGCTTTGAAGCCCCAAGATGTGGTGTTCAGTATTAATAAATTAAAATCAATATTAAGTTCAAATCATTGACATACGATTAAACAGCGACATAATGATAGTCAACCAATCTGGTTAATTTGCAGGATAAATGTGATACTATTAATGCAGCTTTACTGTACTCTCTTTAGTTTCTATGAATAGAGGCGGTGGAAAATCTCTCAGTTTTTGTTGTTCATGGTTGTGTGGGTCAGAGATAGTCAGAGTTGCATTTTCCTAGTCAGCGATAACGATAATTTAGGCGCCAGTATTAAGAACGATTTAAAAACAACTATTATTAACATGTTTGTTAAAACATGCATATTGCGTAACACAGGAAAACAAATACAAATACAAATGCTTTCCCTAAAATTATTTCTATTTCATAAATGCGCAATTATCAAATTAAGCAATGAGTCGTCTTAATTAACCAAAAATACAAATGCGCTCATCAGGGCACAACTACTGATGCAAAACCTTTGGCGTGGAAATAAATCCAACAAGAACTGACAGCGTTTCTTCAATTAGCCAGAGTGACGTCACACCAAGCATAGTTGTAGTAGTACTCGCCTACGATATTTTGCTGATAAGGGCTCCAATCAGAGAGAAAGCGAGAGAGCGGAAGAGAGCACAGACATAGAGAGTTTCCGGAGAGAGTAGACGGGCGGAGAGAGCGTAATGCGGCATTTTCCAGAGAATAAAGAACGTAAAATGCATTTGCAGCAACAAAAACCGGGAAACAGGAAGAAAACGTGCACACAAACACTGCACTACACAAAAAACGTGCCATTCAAAAACTAAATTATGCGCCTAATTGACACCGGGCCCCCTTTGTTTTTGTTGCTGCCCTTTTTGGTTTTCCCCCTGTGTCCCGCTAGTTTCCCTTCCTCCACGATTTGAAGTTCAGGTTCATTGCCTTGCATGTGTGCTGGGTTTATTTTTACAGTTAGATATGGTATAGTATATGCCAACCATGCCAACGAGGAGCGAACTCGGTCTCGACTTTACCGACTCCGTTATAAATATTTCAAGTTCAAAAGTTATTGGGGAGCTGCAAGGGGGGGAGGTGCTTGGGTTGAGTGGATTTAATGACCGATGAGCTAAGGTCACGAACATGCAAAGGAATCAAGGAGAACGAACCAAGTCCCGTTACAGGCAGCTACAGTCAAACTTCAACTCGGAAAGAGTTTTAAACTCTAAATTAAGCAGTAATTAAATCGTACTTTAAACTTTTAAAATAAATTCTCTTCTCCATTTCTAATTTGATTTTAAAGCAGTTTTTTAACACCAATATTATAACAAACCAAAGAAATTGCATTAATTGTAATTAATTTAAATATTATAAATTTGGGTTTTCATTTGTTAAATAGCTTGCAATTCTGATTGTTATAACTATTCGAAGCAAGGTCCTATAATTAAAGGATATATAGAGTGCCTTAATAGTTTTATAAACAAAGAATTTAATATTTAATACTGCCCTCAAAAAAATCGAATAAACTTGACACCTTAAAAAAAAACAATATAAAAACATTCTTCATTAAATAAAAATTAACTGTCAAGTTTGACTAGCTTCACTGTAGTTATAGGATTGGCCGTTTTAATATACAATAAAAAACTCCGGACTTACGGTTTTGGTTGCTGGCGCCATCTTGGAATTCGGCATCAAAACACTGTTCCTCCTCTCCCGGCCCTCCACCTCTGGTAGTGCCCACTATAGGAGCAGTGCCGCCACCGATTCCGCCGGCAGCATTGGCCTTAATCTTGGCTTGGTTGTGGAAGCCGCTGGTGGTGAACTGTGGCGTCTTGAACATGTCATCTGAGACTGGTGATATGGCACCGAAGTGCTCCACAAAGACATCATCCTTCTCGTCGCCGGCACTCAGATGTGCCTGCTCCTTGGCGGACAGCTTCTGTTCTTGATCCAACACAACGGTGGAATTTCCAAGTGGTGACACTGGAGAGTTACTATCTTCGTGGATGGGAGGTCGCCTTAAATTCTGATGTGTAGGAATCGGTGGCGAGTTTGAAACGAATGCCTGCTGCTCAAGTGACCTAATAACTGTGGCCTCCTCCACCCGCATGGATACATCCACATCCATGGCTTCAAAATCCTCTCCAGCCATGCATTCCTCGGTGGCCTCAACAGCTGGTGATGCCTCTTGCTCCAGGCAAAAGGTGCGTCTTGGCTTATCATTTTCCATATTAAAGGTTTTGCGGGATGGAGCCTCCAACTCCTCCGTGGCTTGAATTGATGAAAAAGTGCGCCGATGATGCTCATCTGTGGATCCCAAGCGTACATCGAAGGTTGCGGAACCCTCAAGGGGAGTACCCCCCGTCACGAACTCTGGAGTGGTATCCATCCTACTGCCGCTGTCGAAGGTTCCGTTAAGAGGCGTTGGTGAAACATCGCTAGTGGGCAGGATTTCGTTGAGATGCTCAGGCTTCTGTGGGCTGGGTTCTGTCAGACAAAAGGTGCGTCTTGGCTTATCATTTTCCACATTGAAGGTCTTTCGGGATGTGTCCCCTTCCTCCTTCTCCTCCGTGGCCTGAATTGATGAAAAAGTGCACCGCTGATGCTTATCTACATCGAAGGTTGCGGAACCCTCAAGGGGTGTACCCTCCGTCACGATAGTTCCGTTCAGAGGCGTTGGTGAAACCTCGCTTGTGGGCAGGGGTTCGTTCAAATGCTCAGGTTTCTGTGGACTGGGTTCTGTTACCTGTATGATCACTGGTGATTTAGCGATTACTCCTGCCTCATAAACACCCTGCTTGCGATCTAAGGAAGGTTTCACAACAGCTTCCTCCAAGTAGGTCATCTCCTCCTGCTCGGGTGGAGCGTGGGGAGAACGAGGGAAGTGGGATGGGGCCTCTGCGGGTCCTTTGATCGGGAAGCTGGGCGATGAGGGTCCAGAGGTTTTTCCTTTGGTAATGGAAGAGCCGCTTTCAACAAGCTCCAAAGACAAAGGAGTTGTAGATCGCTGCAGATCTGGTGTGATTGCTGCCACTGGCACGGATTTATGTTGCTCTAGCTCTCCCACAGGCTTTTGGCTTTCTGCATTCAGTTCATCATCGGGTAGGGGTAATTCGCTTAGGGCTAGGAACTCTAATTCCTCAGCAGTCTTTGGACGATGCGTGGGTATTGGCGGAGAAAGCGGCAACTCATCACGTTTGGCCTGAAGCGTTGGTACGGGCGGAGAAAGAGGTACTGCTGCCGGAAAGGTTTGTTCAGCAGGCTTTAATTCAGCGCACTTAAGAGGTTCCACTGGCTCTGGTCTAGGCTGTTCCAGTGGAGATAGCTTTAAGGCAGCAGATTCCATTTGAGGTTCTTGGGTTTCCTGGAGAAGCAACGTTGAATCCGGTTCTTGAGGCTGCAATGGCTCATGGATTTGCTGCTCGGTGTGTAATATTGCTGGTGGCGGATTTTCCTGAAGCTTCTCCTCATCTTTCGGGCTGGGCAGCGGATTTGACGTCGCTAGCTTTGGGTCAAGCTTCTCCATGGTATCTTCACCATTTTGTGCGGGTTTCAGAGCTGGTGAATTCACACCCGTTTCTTGAGCTGCCTCTTCGGGTAGCTTTGGAGTGGGTTCCAGCCCTTCAGTTACCATTTCCAACTGTTCCAGGATCGCAAATGATTCGTCCATTCTTTCTTGTTCCACATTTAATGCCAATGGGTTCACCTCAAGAATTGGCTGAGATTCGCTAACAACAAATTGTTGCTGCAACAACTGATGAGCCACCGGATCGAGGACGTCCTTTAGCATTTCCATGGTTTCGTTAATTTCATCCACATCCATGGGTTCATAGCTAAGGTTGTGCCGGCTGACAGCTAGCGGGTCATCGAATGTGTTCTCCAATGTGGCAGCCGAGGTAATGGACAATTGTTGCTCCAACACATCATTGAGAGCACTGGAATAGGCCTCCAGTTCGGATCGATCCCCAGTGTACCTCTCGCTATGCTGCGACAGGCATTCCACAAACAAATCTGAGTCAGATTGATCTGACTTTAGTGGACCTGCGGGAGAAAATAATTGTACAAAATAACAATATTATAAATTTTCTAATAAACACTGCTCACTTACCCTCCATTTCGCTCAGTGGGGCTAATTCCGGGATCTGAGTCTCATCAAATTCTGGTAGACCAGCGAATTTTGTAGCTGCGCCCTCCACATCCAGCTTGGGGACCAAAGCAGCGGCCAAAGCCTTCTGCTGCTCCATGGTTGATGGCTTGGGAGTGGGCTTCACCGCCAGCGGACTAAGCTGAAAAAACAAAAAGAGGCGCGCAATTATGTAGGAGCAGAAAATCAAAGAAAATTAATTACAAATTGTATGCATCGCGTGCAACATGATTCGGAGCAACGCTAAAGAAAAATCATCATAATCCAAACAATTGGCAGTCAAAAAATATAAACAACAGAGGAAGGTGTATGGGGTATGGGATAATATCCAACGATCGCTTGCAGCAGCTGTTTGTGCATTTAATTAAGAATTGTTGACACATTGTTTGAGTGGAGGGAGAGTGGTAAGGGGCTTGGGCTGACGACAAAAATAGGTCGCATCTGGGGCTTAAGGTGGATTGCCCTTCGGCGAATGATTAGAGGTGTTGTAGCATTATTCTCTTTTATACATATACCTTAAAAAATAATATATTTTATATTTTATTTAATGGAAATTTAAGGAAAACATTTAAAATTAGTATTCCCTTTGAAACCTTTGCTAAAATAAATCTGCATGTCACTCCCTATATAGCTAATCCATTTGATGCCTCCCACACTGAGACACCACTCTCACCCAAAGAGAACACACTCGCATCCCCATCGCAATATCGTTGTCCCAGTCGGTCAGCCAACAAGCAAATGTCATTAATTTAAAAGCCAGCCAAGACGTGGGAATCGGGCACACGAGAGGGAATGGGAGGCGTCAGGTGGACCGAGGGGACGTGGAACTGGGTCGGCGTCGGCTTCTGTGCAAAGTGCAAAGAGAAAATCGGAAAATGCGCCGGTCCCAGCCCGGGTCCGGCATTATTTTCGCGTCCATTCTCAGGGCCTTGGTGCAATGTTCTACACGCGGAATTTAATTAGAGCGCATTATAGCGCGATGATTGTTGTGGCAAGGTTAAAGTCAGCTAGATTAATAGAGAAGATGGTACAAGAAAAGGGTGCTCCCATGATCCATTGATATCGGAGAGAGGATTAGCAATACAAGGGAGATTTTAAAATAAAATAAATATAAATAATAATTATATTACTACCACTTTATCGTAAGTATATTTTAAATGGGACAACGAGAAAGATAAGTCTTTCCGAGATAGTAATATATGTGTGTTTTGGATAATCACAGTTAGGAACTTAAGTAAATAAATTAATCCCCAATGAGTAATGAGATAAAGCAACAGACAATGCATTTAATATAGACCCATAAACATGACTGTATATAAGAAAATTAAAGAAAATATATATTAAAATATATTTTTCTTAAGCAAAACTTTGAAACGCAATTTAGAAAAACACAAGAGCAAGTATATGAAATCAACAAATATTTAAAATATTAATTTTGGACACTAATCGGAGTAAAAAATCAACCATTATTATGTTACTCAGTTAAAAAGAAAACATAATCACAGACAAAGTAAAAAAAAAAACAACGCAAGAACGAACATTTCACGAATTTTCAACGCATTCCACACGCAATCCACTCATAGTCAGTGTATTTTTTAGACACATACCTCGCCACTCATGGCCTGCAAGTGCTCCATTTCATTGGCACTGACTTGGTTTAGATCCAAATTAATATCGATCAGCAGCTGCTGGATGGTATCTCTACTGCTGCTTGCTTGGATCGCTAGTGGGTTTTCAATGGGAGCCCCTAGGATTAGGTCGGAATGCTGCTTTTCCAACTGCAGCAGATCCTCCGATGCAGAGTCCAGTAAAGTCTTAAGATCTTGGAAGCCCGTTGACTTTTCTTCATTGTCCCCTTCAGATGGGCGATCATCCGCGGGGCTAAAACCTTCTGTCGCTTCCATAGCCGTCCCCTGTTTCCTACTGGCTATGCTCTTGGGCCTCTTGATGATATTTGCGATGAAGTTCATAGGGAGATTGCTCTACGCACGATTAACTTCCCAGACGCTTTACGGTTCACTCGCTTCTATAAACCGATTGATCGATCGGGTTCCCGGTTTAGTCTTTAGTGTTTTGTGACTTTTTTCGGGTTTCGTATTCAGTTATGGCACAGATTTCGGCTCGCCTACTAGGAAAATTGTCGACTGTGATTTTCCGCCTTCTGCTCTCTCATTATATATTGGGTAATAAACCGCCGAGATTCTCGAGACCCAGCGCCGCGTGCGTTTCTCGCTGGCTCCCGATCTTGTCTGTCTTTGAAATCAATTTAAAAATATTTTCGTTTTCAATTTGGTTTGCTCCCGCTCAGTGTCGCACACACGATAATGCCTCTGCTTAGGGGAGAGACAGTGGGCGACCGGCACAGAGAGCGAGAAAATTCGAATGGCATCCACACAAACGCGCTCCGGATGTTTTTTTGAGACTGAGCGATCGAATCGCCTGCGGCCACAACTATTTCGTTTATCAGCACACGATTTCCACTCTTTTTAAATGCTAGTTCGTTTTTCCCGCTTTTTTGGAGGATCTGTTATCACGTTACGATTATAAATTAGTCCTATGTTTTTGCGTTACTGAGTATTTACTGGATAATATTTTTAAAATGGGCTCGTAAAATAATGACACTCTCGATCTATTTCATTTTAAAGACATAAAATGAAAAGGTATGTGCGGAAATATATTCTTATTGCTTCTATTAGTTTTTGTAATACACACAAAACCAGTAGTAAATGCTAAATCCCTGCGTTGAGTTCAACCTTTTCTAAAATCTAACGCTTTATTTTAGCATCTTATAACTGCGAAATTGGTTTCAACCTTTAAGGAGAGGAAAGTGTTTTAACAAACATTCGATTTAGCCCATAGATTTATATTTGAATGCAGCTGTTCAAGTCCTACAATCGACTTATGGCCACGATCACTGACCGCTGAGGGTTCGCGTGGGCAAACGAATGCAATTTAATTGAGAGAAAAGTAGCTTAATTGATCCCGACGAATTAGAGGCAACCACAGACAACCTTCATCGATGAATTGCAGTGAAAAACTGAGGAGCTAGACAAGCCTCAGACGCAACTCAAAAGGCAGAAGTGCAAAATGCAAGACACCGCAAAATAAGCCGAAACGCTCTGAAGAGGCCAATAGAGAACGACGGGGGACAAGAAAATAGGGCGACCGGCAACGCTAATGAATGAAAGTCTTAGTCAAACAGAGCGTACACAGAACGATAAAGAGATAGTTTTTAAAGCTATGCAGACATTGGATATATCCTAAGTCTAGACTAAGCTGTATGAGCAAGCTTACTATTAGTTTTTGAAAAGGGTTTTGTTTAGATTTGACCTTCCATAATTTAACAATAATATATTTATTTTAATATAAGCTCTAGGTATACAATTTTTCTCTCTCTGTAACCCTTGTGGATGCCAAGTGACATGCAATCCCACTTCCATTGTTGCGCATCACGGGGCACTATCCACAAGACCACGACTCGAGTCGAATCGCATCGAGGAAGTGCTCCACATTGCTCCACGGCTGACTTTGCATATTTCGCTAGAAAAGTCCCGCCAATGTGAAACGAAATATGTATATCCCACACGATGGGCCATGACGAGGTGGCAGGTGTTGGTTTTAGCGTTAGCCAACCAATGCGTGACAGGTGACAAGATATCACCGGTTGCACCTAAGTGGAATGAAACCAGGTGAAACCAATAGACGTTCTAAGGGACATTTCGGTAGGCTATAAATTTCTTCAAATTTATACTGAACGCAAATCTAAAAAAAATCACAGAAATGTATACAAACATTAAACATGAATTTTATATGTTGCACATGGTGTTTAATGTTATAGGAAACTTGGAATAACGTTCGAATACCCTTTGCCGGCAGCACATGGCAAAAATTAAGAAAAACAAATATGGGGGAAACGCAACAGTATAATAAACTATAAATAGGCGAAAAACAAATGCAGACAACTCTTTGAATGAAAAATTTGGGGGAGTCTGCAGCTCCATCTCCGATTCTTCCTTAACGAGCATCGTTGGTGGGCAATGGGGAGACTAAATTTGTCAACACAGTCTGGGTTCCTGTGTTCAATGAACTTTTCTTTAGGTTGCAGGAACTTGAAAACTTTTGTGGCTATATCAAGTCCATAAACATGGAAAAAGTAAGACTATTGATCTCAAGATCACAGAATAAACAATACCTAAAAACTAAATAGGTATTATACAATATATAGAAAATATCGCTCAGAAAGTGCTGTTTTCTGTTTTGGCAAAACGTTTCGATTCCGAAATTTCTTTTCAGAGAAATGGGTTTTAATTGGGAATTTTCTTTTTTTGCAGTCTGGGCCAAGAAATTATTTAGCCAGCATCTGGGTAATGATAAATGTCAAGAGGCCGCCGGTCAGCATCCCAAGATTTCGAAGATAATGTACACTTGTAGATAATGCATTTAATGCATGGATAAATAATGAAACGTATACCGACTTGACGAGTATTTGGAAAGGAAAATAACTAGACGAAATTTGTATACCCTTGCACTTTGCCATAGCATGATGGCATCAAATCACAATTCGAATTTTTGCACATTTGTTGACCATTTTAACGATGTAACCCCTCACAAGATGCTGTAAAAATTACAAAAAAATGTTTTCTTTCCAACAAGGCTAGCAAGATCCTCCTTTTAATGTTGATCAAGACTATATGTATATGATTTCTTAGGTCGGAAATGGCTCTTTCACTGCCTTGCAAGCTTCTGACTAAAATACCCTGCCAGGGTATTCAAATTTGTTTTGGTTAAAGAAAATCCAGATAAATCAGACCAATTTTGATATTTATGAGCATTGGCATACCGCATTCCCTGTTCGGTTGTCCGACCTCATAGCCTTTTCTCCCAGAGAGGCCGCCTTCGATTTCTTTGTTTTCCCCGGCTTATTGCCCATTTTTGGGGCTGGACTAGATGAAGGCGGTCTGGAAATCTGACTACCGGAAGAGCTGGACAATGCCTGCAGGCGTACACCGATCAACTGGGGAGCACTCGCCGGCGACAGCTGCCATAGAACTAATAAAAACAACGAACGCAGATTATATATCCAAAGGAAAATAGCAAAAACAGGCTGTGATCGGAGAATTGCCCATATGCACGTACACATACATACATATGTACACACGTACATATATGTATATACATTAATTCCAGGAGAACGGGGAACACATGCCAGAAACAAAATGTTTGGCTAAATCGCACTTTGGCGGCTAGACGAGACACGCCCCCAAGCTGTAAATACATCCCATTTCGCTTACCTTGACGCCGCCATCGTTCTTGTTGATCTCTCGCAGAACTCCGCGACCGCCGAGTCCCATTCCCAGTCCATTGTCTGCCGCATCGTATTCCATGATCTATATCCAGGTGCGCAGCGTTTTCCTTTTGGCCAATTTCACAATTTAGCTGTTTTTCCTATAGTTATCTGCCGGCTAAATCTTATTTAACGCTCTGTTTGGTTAGGGTGACGCGAGTTTGATGTTGTTTTTGTGTAAAAATGCCGCTACAATTTGAAGAAGCATAATGGTCACAGTGAGACCGCACGTTGGTCGGGGAAAATACCATTCGACCCGAAAATAAATACGAATTTTTAGGGGGGTTTAGGGGTTTGTTTTAAACTTGTATTAATGCTATGTAATATAAAAAAAAAACATTAAAATAATACAACAAAAGGAGGTTTCTTCCTTATATTTTTTAATTTAAATGAATTTAAAATGAACGGGGAAAACTGGATTTTTTTTAGGAAATGTTCAACTTTTTGAGATTTTTTAGGTTGAGAGCCAAATGTGCATCTGGCAACACTATTTTTATCTGCCTCTACCCGAAAGTCACTTCAAACCCATTTTGTGTAAGAAAAATAAGAAAAACTGAGCCTAGACATTCGTATCAACTCTAAATCAACAATTAAGTAAATAATAAAGTTGTTATCAGAATGGTCGGAAAGAATAAGTCATTCTGGGCCGTGATGTCAGACCCAACGTCGATGGAAGGCGGGGCTGCTAGCAGTGGCAGGCAAGGAGGAGAGCAATCCTATCTGCCTGTCCCCCACGGTAACAACTCTGGCATGACGGGAGCAGGTCATTCCAGTTTCAATGACACTGCCACAACATCGCAAAGCATGATAGACCTCACAGGTCCCGTCGCCGAGGAAACAAATGTGGAGGCGGGGAAGAAGCCGAAGCGTTCCAGCGAGGGGATGAAGGCAAAGGCCAAATACAAGGCGGCCCTCAAGATCAGGATCCGGCTCCAGGACAAGCTTTCCCACACTCCAGAGGAAAAGGAACAGCTGGCCTGGGCCATGGAGAGAATCGAAGAGGGCAGGCAACATTTCGCCAAGATTGCAAACATGGCCTCCACGGGCGGATTTGCGAACAAGGTGGAGGAGATGTTTCTCAACAGAACTCAATCCTCCACCAAGCAGTCGAACATGAACTCTACGAACGGATCTGGGAACAAGAAGAAGGCGATGCCTGCCAACCAAAGGCAAAGCTCCGCCAAGCTTTCCAACACTAACTCCACGTCCAAGAGGGTTGAGCAGATGCATGCCAACAGAAGGCAATGCTCCGCCAAGCTTTCCAACACGAACTCCACGTCCGCATTTGCAAATAAAGCTGAGCAGATGCATGCCCACAAAAGACGACGCTCCATAGAGACTGCCGCCAGAGACGCTCCGGTGGGGAAGCGTCACCGCGGGCCAATGGAGGCAGGCCCTTCTCATAACGTGAGGATGCCTAAGAGACAGTCGGAAACTAAGGTCAAGGAGGGGTCCAAACGACACCTGATCGTGGCGCTCATTGACTGGAGTGACGGAAGTGGTCAGATGACAGAGGCGCAGTGGAAGATAGTTCACGCGAAGCTCGTGGAATCGCTGTTTGCGCGGATGACGGAAGACCCCTCAGCTCCCATGCCCACGTTTGATGGTGCCGGGTGGCTGAATGGGGTCAAAATCCTCAAGTGTAAGGACGATCCAACTCGGAATTGGCTGACGCAAACGGTTGGCCATTTGAAAGGGTTGTGGAAAGGGGCCAGGCTGGAGGTGGTGGACAGGGAATTTATCCCATCCGTACCGAAGGCGAAGGTACTCTTTCCCATCGCTGTCCAAAAAGAGCAGGCCCTACAGCTGCTACAGCGACAGAACCCGGACGTCCCAACGGCAGACTGGAAGATTTTGCACCTCGGAAGCCGACAAGAAGAGGGGGGCCAATCTGCGATTCTGCAGATAAACAGGAAAGCGGAGGACATCCTATATCCTAGGTACGGGAAGATGGCGTGGGGCATGGGTAGTGTATACCTTCGCCTCAAGAAGCGCCACCCCGGAGACCAGGACGCCCACACCCTACAGGCAGGCGAGGTGGAAAAGGACCTAGGTCTGGTCACCACACTGACGAACGAACCTGAGGAGGACGGTGACCTGACAAATGTAGTCAACACGTCGGCTGAAGATGATTACAGTGCTGCAGCTTATCCTCCGTAAAAGCATATTGCATCGGCGGAACTCCTCAATGCCATGGAGCAGGGATCCGTCGTTACAGACTTTATCCACAAACAACAAACTTCTCCACCCACCATTGGTAAGGAACAGAACCGTCGTATTCGTGCGAAAGGGTCTCAACTCTAACCTTATGTCTCATTACAGCTCAAACGGTCTGAATAAACGCTGGAAAGCAAGAGCAGCGCCACCTGGTAGCTTCCTGCTATATAGCTCACCACAGACCAACTCCACCTGAAGAACTAAGGAGTCTGGTAGAAACCAGTCCCAAATACTGCAACTGGTCGGGCTTACCCCGAATATTTTCAATACCCGAATTTTTAAATGTCTGTCGATAAAGATAGATTATGTTATATTAGATATAATCTATATATCATTATAAATATAAAAAGGGTTTTGGAAAAATGCTAAATATGATCATAGGAACACTTTCCTTATACGAGAGTCTTTACTGATTTGAAATTATAAAGATTTTTTGACACCACTGGAGTTCTGCAAATCTTTCAAACATTCGAATAAAATTGAAACAATCTAAAGAATTATATATTTATTTTCGGAGGATGCTTTATTAGAAAAATATTGCTCTTTTGCCATGCATAACATTTTCTTTCATATAGTAACCATTATCAGATAACATTCAACGAGTTGCCAAGCGCTTTCACTAGACAAAGTTGCAACTTTTAAAATATATATACTTTTATATGCATAATTAATAATTAGACCTGAAACGCTACTAATTGATTTATATTAAAATTAGCTTGGTAATTGGTAATTGATAATTGATAATTCATAATACATAATGGTAATAAAGTTATTAATGTGTAATCTAAAATTATTGATTTCCTCTATGCGCCTTGCAATTAATTATTTAAAAGTCGAGAAAGGTAGTTAATAGAAGTTGTCCATAATATGTAATTATTGTGTGACTACTCTTATATGTATGTCTTTTCATGAAATTCTCTCCAGGTGTTTACAACACAATCACTAAAATGTGGAACCGCAGGCCTTTAGAAGGATCAACCGCCAATAGTTGGCTTTTCTATTTAATGGGTTCTACTTGAGGTCCGATTCGGATCGGTTTTGGTTCAATTGTGACTGCGTAATACTGGGCTTGTCTCGGGGCGAGTTCCACATTCGACCGACGTACTAGGCTTATGGGACTACTTATTATGGCTGCGCAGAAGCTAAACCCAGATTCGAGTGTTTTTATGGCCTTCCGGGGATTTACTAAACTATAAAACTATGCCCTAAAATTAGATTTAATGAAAAATATACATATATAGATACTTTGTGTTATATTTTTGGGCTGCATTTGCGAGCGTCTTTTCCCGTTTAATCGGATTTGGTTAGGGACTTTTCTGCCCCAAATATCTAAGCTTTAGAGTTGTCTACTTAAAAATGTTTGTATTTTTGTCTAGAGTGCCTAATGTATTCCTCGCTTGAGCACTTCGATTTTGGGGACTAGGGTAAAGTTGAGCTCCTACTTTTTAAGTGTGCGAAAAGAGCTAGGTCTGTCTCGGACTTTCCCTCAAAAAAGTTTGCTAGTGTGCGTTACAAAAGGAGGTGCCCCTAAAGTAATAAAGGGCTATATATAGTGTATATCAAATTTGTAGACTGTAGTTTACAAGTCACAGCACCACCAAAGTGAACAAAACCCAAGGTTCTAGCTGTCTGCACTGCATTAGCTTAATTTTGAACAGCTGCTTCTACAATTTAACATTAGAACTATGTTCCTAAATCCTATCAATTTCGACATAGGCAAGGCTCGAGACCTTCCCTATGCGAAAGCAAGTACTTCTCCTAACATCGCTTTTAAGCAACTGTTCTCTCAATCCAACCTCATTTTTGAACAGCTATTCCTGCGCAACCTAATCTAGGAGCAGATCACATTGGTGGGCCATCCTCGTTTATCTTGGTCGTCCAAATGCCGGGCATCAGTTGAGGAGGTAGATTTGATTGCGGCGTGGTCAGTTTCCTAATGGTGCTGTTCGAGTGGATGGTTGGCTTCGAGCTGGGCGTGTAGCCCTTGTTGTCCATGCCGTCGATGATTGTGAACTGAGAGGCCATATTCTGTGCACCCTGAGCAGCCGGTGAGGCGGGTCTTGAGATGGGATGTGTCCTCGGACTGCTGATCAAGGCGGTGCAGAATCCGCCCCAGATGGCCAGCGAGGCGAAGGCCGTCTGGGGAATGAGCTGGCCCAGGACCACTGTGGACCCAATAAAGGGAGCTCCTAGCAGCCAGAAGCGGGCCCAGCAGATGGTCGAGAAGGAGGTGATTTTCTTCTTGTCATCAGTGACCAGTTCCACTGTACAGGTAGTCAGGATGCTGAGCGTCGTAGAGATGGCCATTTTGGACACCATGGCCGAGCACATGAGCAAGGCCACATTCGGGTCCACTCCGATCACGCTCTGCTTGGGCACCAGCCAGCCGCAGTAGGCAATGCATCCTGCCACAATGTTGAAGAGCCCCGTCCACAGCCACTTGCGGGTGGTCTTCAGGATCAGGAAGAGGCCAATGAACGTGCCCACCATCTCGCTGAGGCCCGCGAAGAAGGTGTTGATGTACAGGTGATCGCGGCTGAAGGAGCGAATATTGAGCAGCATGCCGTAGTAGACGACGATGTAGATCGACCAGGCCAGGTGCACACACACCATGTGCCGCACCGCACGCTCCCCCTTCCACATTGACCACCAGCCACTCGGCGGCGGGGCGTCCATCGCCGTCTGAGCCTGCAGTTCCAGCTGCTGGTCAATGTCGTGGGGGAGGTTGTAGCGCGTTCCATTCACCTCGGCGCACTCCAGCAAGATCTTCTTGGCTTCCTGGACCCTACCCCGGGCGATTAGCCAGCGCGGCGAGTCGGGTATCCACCTGGAAAATGAAGAACGAGGGTCAGTTTTGAAGACGAAGTTCCTAAAATCATTACTCACTGCCACAGATATATAAGGATCACAGTGGGCCAGGAGATGGCCATGTACAGATGCGACCAGCTCGACCAGAAGCTGGCCACTCCTGGCAGCATCATCACGCCAATTGACCAGAACTGCTCGAACAGCGTAGAGACGCAGGTTTTATATTTGCCACCCGTTATGTCGGCCACTGTTCGGGGAAGAATCAATTAGCTTCTTTCGTCAAAAAACCATATATGCTAATTACTTACTGATTTGCCCACCGGCTGTGTACATCTGGGCACAGCAGACGGCAGAGAGGCAGCGAAAGAAGACGTGCAGCTCGTAGGAGGCAACGTGGCCGGTGAGGTTTCCACAGAAGATTTGCGTGATCATGCCAAAGAGCATCACATTCCGGGGACTAAAACTGGAGTGGGAATATTTAAATTAAATATTAAATTAATATCAAATGTACATCTCACAATCCTCCGGTGCAACTTACTATTTAAGCAGCTGATTGGCCAGAATGCCCCCAGTGAGCACACCAAACAGATGGAAGAACTGAGTGACGGAAACAAGGATGTCTCGGGAGCAAACGAGATCGTACTGGGTTACCACCGAGTGGTAGTCGGATTCGTGCTGAAACTCTGTGCAGGGGATCACATTGGAGTTGCGGTGCAGAGGCTTCTCCCACACCCGCGGCTCCTGCTCGCTGTTCTCGTAGTTGTAGTAATGATGGGCGTGCTCCTGGGCATCCTGGTAAACATTGCAGAAGTCGATGGAGAACTCCTGATCATCGCTCTCCTCCTTTTGCGGATGGGAGACCTTGATCCACTGCGTCTGATTCTGGGCTCCGACGGTGTTTGGCGGTTTGCAGAAGAACTCCCCGTGACGCGGTGCTGGCGCCGTGAAAATGATGCAGGCCATGAACCATGAGGAGGGGATCTTGCAAAGAAAGATCAGGAGCACCGTGCGCAGCTGCCACTTTCCCCAGGGGCCGGTGATGCGACCCACTGCATCAACTTTGGTCTGCATTTTGGTATTTGGCATCGGTGACTTCCCTTCTAGGCGGGCAAAGGAGTCGTTGGGATATAGCTGATACTCGTGCTGGTGCTTGTGGCTGGGAGTGCTACTGGACAGGTGCGAATAGAAACCTCCCTCGTTGTTATTGTTGTTGTTATTGTTGCTGGTGCTACTGCTGTTGTTGTTCGCCTCTCCTGGCGAACTGTCGCAGGGCAGAGAATTCGGACAACTGGTCAGCGAACTGCGACGACGACAGTCGTTGGAAGCGGGTAGCGGCGGGTGCTGGTGCGGGTGCTGCTGGTCGCGTTCGCCTGCTAAGGTGCTGTACTGGTGGGGTGACCTACTGGCTGATATGTGCGAGGAACTCTGGACTCGAGTGGGCGATGGCTCGAGGTCGTCCTTCAGGGGCAGCAGGGGGGATTCTGCCTGTGTGGGGCAAAAAAGAGGCAACATGGCAATTAGAATTTAAATTAAGGCTAATTGTAAAGGTTCATGTCTGGAATATTAAGTATTAACTTAAATCAAATCCTAGAACTTTTACATCCGAATGCAGTTAATACACTTTTTGCTTTTCTATTTATAGCTCGCTTCTACCATTGCTATTCAGTCAAAAGGACATAATTCACGATTGCATCTCCAGGACATAATGAACATAAATTGCACAGCCAAGTGGCCTGCGTCACTTTCTTCCTTGGTACTCTCCGTGTCGTTTTCTTAAAGTAATTTGAATTCCCAGGAAACCCCTTGCAGTAATTGAAGAAGCTATGTATCCTTGGGCTTAGATATATTTATATAGAACATCTCCAGACTTATCCTTGGGCCTCGGAGGGTTGTCTCACTCATATATTTAGTAACTATAGCGCAGCAAATATTACTAATACGCCATATGGGCACTTCTTTTTCACATATTTGAACTACTTATGTACTTATTTGTATTATGTACATTTTAGCTTCCATTTGCAAGAGCCTAAATGTCACCCATATGACCACAGAGAGTAATTGCCTTTGAGCACGATTTGCTTTAAAGAGCTGCCCAAAAGTTAAGGCACATAATTACTCATTTTAAATATAAATAAAATATATGCACGACTCCATTTCCACATCGCATTAAGTTAGCATTTTTTAAGCGAAATAAAAACATTATTTTTTCTTAATTAGCTTTAACTAATTAACCATCCTCATGTATCCAACCAGCAAAAAAAAATTACCAGAGTAAAAGACAAGCAAAAAAATAAAACAAAAACTCGCCAACCGTTTACGACTTCTCATTTGGTTTTAGCATTTTAGGGTTGACAAATGTCCCTGGAGCCAGAAAAAAAACAGCGGCAACCAGAAACACCTCCCTTCCCCCAGTTGGTGTTCTTATTCAGATGTTCTTGGCCAACAATTGCAAACAATTGCCTTGGCTCGGTGGGTTTTTTTGTGCCGCTGGCCCATCTTTTTTGACTGTAGCATTTGTCGTCATTAAAGTTTTGTTTTTCCTTAATAGGACCTAATATATGCGGGTTATTTACAGGAAAACAAGACCCACAAACACACACTCTGGGACTTTGAAAATCGAAAGTCCTGAAGCAACCATTAAATGTGACCTTCAAAGGAATGCAGGCAAAGGCGATACCTGAAGAGGGGCAGGAATCCGAATTGGATTTCATGCATAATGCATTAATCCGCGGATTTTTCAAGCCGATTGCTGGCTTGGCATAAATTTTGCAAAAGAGAGAAATTTGCAAAGGAAAAACAACCAAATGGGTGAGGGGAAAAACACAAACAGAACGAGAAAAATAACTTTGATTTTCGGGCTGAAGGTCGTTCCATTGTCAGGAGCGATTTCCCAAGGACCGACGCCGGTAAGTATGCAATCATTTTATTAGTTCTCTGCGTCTAACCGCGTGTTTCTAGTTTTATGCGTCGCCCAAAATGAATTCGTTTTCGTATCTCATCGCTTTATTCTTGTCTTTTCGGGTCTTATTTTTGTTTTGCTGACTGCCACCAGTAGCAGTTGTGCAAATATCTCCAAGGTTAATGCCGATTGCCTTCGCCTGTTGTTTTATATTGGTTTTACGTTGGGAAAGGCTTGGAGAGGGCAAATTGAATTTTATGCGTCACGTGACAAATGGTTGAAAATACTGCCTGTTAAGGTGAATCACTTTTGTAGTTAGGGCCTTGTTAACGTATCCCAAGGATTGGAAGGACCTCTAGACTCCTCTTTTGAATACATATATCTCATGTTTACCTTAGACTTTAAAAGAAAACATTATTTCACTTGAAACCTTCGTTAAATACCCAACAAGGACTTCTCCTTTGGAAATTTCTTAAGAGGCTTGGGCACTCATTTAAATTTTATATTTAATAATACTCAATTGCAAACCCATAGGAATTTATATCTGAGGGTCATGAATGTGTTTTTTAAAAAAGTTATTTGAAATTGCGAAAAAGGAAACCTAAGGAAGCAATCTGTGAATGCCGAAGTTTTTATATTCTTTCTCAGGGATATTAAAATCAATATTTATCCAACTACAACAATGTCCAAAAAAACGATATTCTGATTACACTTTCAATCTTAAAACAAAGCTAAACCCCAAAAAAATAACATCTTCTACAGACGGTGTTCAATGCTCAATTAATTGAAAAGAATCCGTTCCCAAGAGTATCAGAGGCCGACGCCTTGTAGCAAATTTTTTAATAAAGCACAAAGCCCCCGAAATCCAGCTATAAATTATTCATAAGTCGCTGCCGCACGGCTGACTGGGGCCAGGATGCTGAGCACAGGCGCATCTCCTCCTTGTCCATGGTCGATGACTGATGGCGGGTCTTAAAGCCCGTCCGGATTGCCGTCTCAGCTCCCTCGGTCATAATTAAAGCAATTTTCTTACAGTCAGATTGAAACTTTGCTTGGCTGCTTTAATTAGCTGTCAGACTGGAAAATTTGTTGCCCTCAACCAGCTCCAATTATCTGCCCAAAGCGAAAGCACTTAGCTGGCCGACTGGGTCTGGAAATCATTTTTATTCCAGACCGGAAACAATTGCCGCCGCCACATTTCTTTATATAGTCCCCATGGGAGTAGAGCATCCTTAATATTTCATTAACGTATTTATTGCTCTTCATAATTCAATCGAAAGCGTTCCCCAGCGAAAGGAAGGATATTGTTTGGCGTTGCATATAGGACATGGAAATTGATTGTTTATCGGAAGGAAGGAGCAGACTTCTTGCCACTTGGGCATATAGTACATATGGTGTGTCGTGGGTCCATTGTATGCCAAGAGGGAAATTTGTAATTGAAACCGAAGCGAGGAAGGGAAAGCTCTTTGGCTTCAATGTAGGAAATATGAGTTACTTTCGGGTGGGAGGCATAATGAGAGAAGTATTCAAAGAAAATATTGTGTAAGGTTGTGCGAGGATGCCAACAAATGTCAGAGGTTGTTAAAGAAAATTACGGTAATTGGTTGGGCTCTTGGAAATTCAAGGAGTTATTACAATAAAATTGTTGATACCATTTTAAGAATGAAACTTGAAACATTAAATATTTACAATCTCTTTTGGCTTTTAATGAAAACAAAATGTAAATGTAATTATTATTACCAGAGAAATTTGACAGATCGAGGGATAGTTCTAGCTTAGTTTACTTAAAAAACTTAGAAGCTGAAAATAAATATATTTCTCAAGATTTGGTAAACTCTTATCTATATAGCTTCACCCTATTTACCCATTTCGAAAAGTGCTGCAAACATTTTCGATGCAAAACAACAATTCATGACCAACTGTTTGCCAATAATTAGAATAAACCTGTCAGACAATAGACAAATATTTAAATGCACTTTCCAAAATGTCACACTTTAAGAAGAAACTAAACCAACTTTTAATTAAATATATTCACTGCTTAGCAATCTCATAAAATCTCTCTTGACAGCAGCAAAACAAGCCAAAGAAAGAAAACTTTCCACACTTCTGAGCCAGTGTATCGCTTACCCATTAGCCTGGCCTAATGATTAATTAATTGTTTGGCCTAACAATCTTCAGGTAGCAACAACACATCACCCGGCTGCTATGACTTTTCCTCTTTCTCTCGACAACAAAGGACACACTCGCACACAAAGTTGCAACTAAAGTATTTTCTTTGTTACGAGGAAAAGTTGGCCCAATGGTTGAGGAGGCAGTGGGTGGTGGGTTGACAACAATGGACGCCAAAGTTAATTGGAGCAATGCCAGGGCGAAAGTGTTTCCTGCTCGGATTTGCCGTTCCTGCCCCCTGGCAAACAGGCAACAGAGACTCTGTGAGGGATGCGGGACAGGTGCTAGGCTGATGTATTATTTGCCACTGTTGCTGGTAAGTGAAAATCCCTGGCAAAAGCTGTTGACATCCAGTTGCTGAGGCGAGTTAATATGCTTGCTTCCGCCGCTCCTGCTGCTACCTGAATATTGTTTATGCATCCATAAATCCCCCTCTGAACAAGGATTAAGGCATAACATTGTGCCAAGTTGGGAAAAGCATGAAGGAAAGTGATGACAAATCAAAATTAAAGAATAAATAACAATTCTAGGTATTTTTCCAGCAAAAGGAAAACTCGTAATGGCTCTTGTCAAAGCTCGTTAACTATAATATAATTACCAAATTCGTTTACCAAAAGTTTTCCCCAAGAGGAGATGACAAAATGCCGTGTAATTAAATTGCCTCAAAATAGATTTTCACTTCATATTTAGCGGCCAAGGACCACTTATTTTGGCGGTCAAGACATGCAATGTGGAGGCCCGACCTCCCCCAACTTGTTGCTGGCCCAACTAGGCGGCCAATATGAGCCATTCGAGTTAGCCCCGTCACGATATCGTGGCCAGACGTGGGCCCAGACGAAAGTGAGCATAAATATTTGATTAGTTCCAACTCGTAGCTTGACCCCCGAGTGGCCGGAATGTGTTGGCGATAATTTATAAAAATCCGGGCTATATTGCCAAGTTGGATGTCTGTCACGAATGTGTGTATATATATTATATACATTGATGGATGGAACCATCTCACTCTGACACGTGTATGCAAATGCCTTCGATGGCGTTGGAGAGCCATAAACATTCGCAAGCTCCCAACTGTCGAAACAATTTGGCGCAGCATGGCGTATGCGTAATGTATTGCAGATTGTTTTTATGCCCACCAAGCCCATAGAGTATGCGTGGGCACTGCTGCCAATGGGTGCGGTAAGTGTTTTGGTTATGGCATATTGAAGGATCGAAGGATTCGAGGAGCTTCTTAAGGGGCCTAGAAACCACCACCAACTGGGAAAGTGTTAACCCAACAAACTTTTATCGGGGCCATAAAAGCCAACTCCACCTACTACTACTACTAATATAGTATATCAACATCACTCTTTAATTATCTCTTTTATTGTTTCGTTTATTGTCTGGAACATAAACTGTTTTAATGATATCCAACTAAGTC